ACTTAAAAAGAACTACAACTAACTACACTACGAAAAGAAGTACAACTTAATAATATATATATATATATATATATATATATATAATATATATAAGTTGTGTGTGAGAGAGAGAGAGAAAGAGAGGGATATAAGAGTACTAACCGGGCCACATGGGATTGATTTCAGAGAACCATCCTGAAATGATGGAAGAGTCACATTGAGAGGTAGTTTTATTTTCATCAATTTCCACTTCTTTGAACCAGGGAGAAGAAGTACTTCCCTTCTTTCCACTAAAAACGACAACCTTCTCTTCAACCATCTTTTTCTTGACAAACAAACTCTCTTTATCTCTAAACCTCACAATCAAAAGATGGACTTAGTCCAAAACTGAGAAAAACAAACACACTTTACTTACTTTCAAGTTTCAACTTGATAGACAAGCTCAGGGGTCAGCCACAACAGTTTATAAGAAAATCTCTATCTATTTATGGGACACATATTCCTATGTTTATCTCCTCTCCCTCTCTCTTCCAAGAATAGAGCGTGGACAATTAACAATAACTGCCCCTAACTTTTTATCAAAAAAAATTGGGCCTCACTATAATAATGTGCTCGTACAATAATTGAAATGCCCTGACTTATTTTGAAATGCCACAGGAAACCTACAGGAGAATGCTCTTTGTTCCATGTTCTAGGGTGAAAATTCTGGCCATGTTTTACCATATTTTGATTGCAAAAGCATGAACTTAAATATTAAATAAAAAAAATAACCATATTTTATTATATATGCATTTGAGTTACAATTTATTTAGAATAAAGTGCTATTTTGAACAAAATGGAAACTTGAAACATATATACACACATGACTATACTCTATTTGTTAGTTCTCTCGGCACTTTCGATAGTAAAAAAAGCCGCAAAAAGCGGCGTGCAGTATCGACCTCATTCATGAAATATGTTGCTTTGTGGCACGCTCATAATTGGGATAAAAGCTAATTTTGAACCCGATGCAATGCTCTAATAGAAAAAGTTATGGATGAAAAGATACAATCATATTAAATTTTGTGACAATTCAATATAGACCTTGTAACATATACGTTCAATATCAATATATATATATATATATATAGAGGTTCAGTTTGTAGAGGTCCCAGGCTCTAAACAATCAAATTAGAGCCTATCTTCAAATGGTGTCGAGAAATGTGGTTTCAACATTGGAAATCTTTGTGATAGCCTTCAAATATATTTTTATCTTTATTTATAAATTTTAAAGCTTTAAAAATAGTGTAGATCGATAGATCTATGAAAACTTCAAAATCTTGAAAATTGATGGTCCAAAAAATGCATTACAAAATACATTATTTCCAAAACTTGAAATACATTTTTTTCTAATGTCCATGCATCTTGATGTCGAGATTATCAATTTGAGGATATTTGGGCATCGAAACA